TATGTTGCAATAAATGCAATAGTTCAACAAGAACCCCCATTGCAAGTTAATGCTATAACAATAGAGATAAATAGAATTGTAAAGGAAGCCGACTAAGTACATAGACGTAAATATAAACATATGTATATGAATGAAATTTTGTTGCCAAAAAAACATGAAGCAACATATTTCATTGACATATTTTTTTTGCATAGAATATTTGACAATATTTCTCTCAGTCGAGGCTGAGAAAAGCAAACAAAACGTAAATTTTTCGGAAAGACATTAATGAATTATTCAGTAACATGAGATTAATGACTTTACCTAAACATACATGGGTGTATACATATGCATTTTGTATTTCTTTAGTGAACAACACGAAGGGATCAAGGGACATGTTGTTTTCAATATTTTGGCATGAGCTACATACATATAACACAATAAGGATTGCCATTCATCATCATAACACGAAACAGCATTTCTTGAAAAGGATGGAAATAAATGAGAGAGAGAATGTAAATGGATGGGAAGAATATTTGGGTAGTTGAAATTTTTAAAAATTGAGGAATTACGGCGCATGCATGATCTTGGTTTCTTTGGTACTTTTGATGACCTGATGAACCTAATGGACGTTGATAGTGTTTTTCTGGTTACTTGTTTATTTAAATTCTATCAAATTTTAAAACCTTTAAAGCACTAAATCGCATAAACTCTTGAAATAATCCATAAATCTCCCTCCTTGATTTTCCATAGCCATAGCCTTCAACCAAAACTGTGATAATACAATATTTTCTCATCTAGCCTAAATGCACCCAACACAAAAAATTAAGGCACTGCAAAAAAGGATGAAAGAAGACCACACGCAATGACTTTATATGTCTACAAATGAGTATTGCCCCAGAGGCACAATAAAAAAAGAATGAGGACACACACAAGAAATATGAAGAAGGCATCATAAAGCAAACGCTGACTATTCACAAAATTTTTTTTTCAAGAGCTGTGGATGAGAAAGAGGGACTTTGCGGGCAGGTTATATATGAGCTATCATTAAGGCTTCTCTATTTCTTCTTCTTTATTCCTTTCTCACTTTTATGTGTGGATGATTGTACAAATATTATGATTTATGGATTCTACCTTGACTCACTGCTTGACTCCTTAAAATCATCCCGAAAAAGTTCTTTTTTTTGTATCTCCTCTTCAAATATATTTTTTTTTTGGATTGCCTCATAAAAATATTTGTGACATTATGAGAGTCAGTTATGATATTATGAACGTTTCGAGTGGGCCACTTCAGATGTAAAGTGTCGAGAGTAGCTGAAAAATCTCAGACGATGATGTTTCAGAATCAGTTCAAGAGGTTAATGATATCTCATAAAATGAGTATGACAATCTATGATTATTGTTTATGTTTCATCTGGAGCTGTATAGAGCAAATAAAACTATTCATTGAAGTCCATAAAAAATACTAAGTTGACTTATTTAATCTTCAAATGGATTTTTCAAGCTCCATAAAATTCTTTTCCTATTGTCTTTACTGGAGTTTGTCCTTGAATGGTATAATTTATGGCCACCATAAATGCAGTTTTGTTTAAATTGCTTCTCGACTCAGACAATTACTTTATGCCTTTAGAAATTGGATTTTTTTTTTATAGGATCCTCTTTTTGACAGTTAATGCATTATTTGTACAATTATTGCATGATTTATAAGATGCAATGAAATTTTTAAGAGTAATTTGATGCCAAATGATTTTAATGGTCTAAAGTTGATTGGAAGATTATTATTGGAGGTTATATAGACTTGATGGGTTAGCAGCTAGATTGTCACTTTGTATTAAGTGTCTTTCATTTGATTTAGTTCCTGATGCAAGGATGCAGAACTAATCAACTGATTTTTTGTCATTAGAACTCCTTTGCTACATCTATGGTTATTATTCGACAGGCAAAATTAGCGCAATGAATCTATGAGCTATCACAAAAATCTATCAAAGCCATAGCAATTTAATTTCAATCTCCAATTTACCTCAACATTAACCACGATTGACATATCGATTGTGCAATTCACTATATCACATCCACAGCATTAGCGTGGATCAATATACACAAGTATCATAAATAATTTAAGAGGCCACGCTATTTTGTTTATTTCAAATTCAATTTTATTTCCTCGCTCACTCGAATTTTTTTTGTATTTGTTTTTTTATTCAAGAACTTGTTTCCTTTCTTAAATCGACAGACACAGAATAAAACTCCCGCAAATACCCTAATCACGCCAATAAAATAAAATATTTAAGAAAAAAAAAGCGGCTATATAAATTGAAGTGAGCATGGCAAGCATTTTGTATATCTTACAAGTATCTGTACATATGCACACCTAATTTATTCATAAAAAATACATTCTTCTCACTATCAAAATGAAATCTTTTTAACAGATAAAGGTTGAAGATAAATACAAAACAACTAAGAAATTGTAACATGTGAGAGAAGAAGTAGAATCGTCGTAGAGTGTGGGATTTCATGCTGCGATTAAAACGATACACATGAGAGTCAGAAACAAGGCAGATAACAAATTGAAAATCATGCGATTGGGGGCGCATAAAACTAATTAATTGGAATATCATTCGTGTAAGCTTGTTATTCTCTCAAAAACAGTTATTAATGCTATTGATATTGAAGTATATCTGTCTAAAATCTTTAATCACAGTACGAGATTTATGTTTAAAATTTTTTTTTTCAATTAGTTGAAAGTGAATTGAGAAATTTTTATATTGAAGATTACTTTGCCAGTAGCATGAGCTGACAGAGTTGTAACCAGAGCTCGAAGTCGATGATATTTTGTATGAAGTCCACAATACAAAATCGATGAAAATCTCGAGTCGACTTCGAGCTCTGATTGTAACGTTTGAGATTTTGTTGAGTGTAAGCCCTCCTCACTATAAGCGAGGGAGATCATCTTAAACCACAAACACTTTCTTTAACTTCCCACAAAAACAACCCTGCAATGCAACAATTTAAGATTCTCGCTAAGCAATCAAGCGAGAAGAAAGTCGGATAAGATATTTTAAGAATTCATAAATTCAACTTCATACTGTCTTCATCGCATAAACGAAAATGAAAATTTAAAAGATGACTCAACAAGTCTCTCCTTAAATAACTGAGAATATCTACAAAGGCACAACGATGAAGAGTTTAGAATAATTTAAGTAGTGTCATTAAAGTAATTTTCCCCTTAATTATTAAATGAAGATTGATCGAAAGTTGTTCATTGTATCGCATATCTCGTCTGCTTTGTATGTTTCTGATTTTGGCTTATTGCTCTTGAGAATTTCCTTAGCTGACGCTATTATTGTACCACCCACACTCAATCAGCTTTTCTTCTTCTCATTCATCGATTTATTTTTATTTTTGTGTGTTTATTCTCGTGACTTCTCATTCAACTTGGGCCTGTTTTCTTGTTGATATTGTTAATTTAATTTTTATTGATGATAGGCAATTTATTGGTTGAAAAAAGATTGTTTAAAGAAAAAGGAAAAAGAAAGAGTCGGAGTGAATTAAAACCAATTTCTTGCTCAATAAACTTAATTAATAGCTCTTTTGATTTGATTTATAACTTTCTTGGGTGTTTATACTCGCATTTCAAGTCGACTGTAAAGAAGAAATCAAAAATATTGTTCATGATTGATTGAAAATTCGGCTGTGGAACTAACTTGATGGTAAGGAGCGGATGTAATTACTAAAGAGTTGTGAAACTTAATTTTGACAGCTTTAATTGCCATATCAGTCAATAGGTAGGATTAACGATTTAATTTCTAAGTTGATTCCTGCACATCCTCCTGAATTACATGTGATTGTGTGATTTGTACAAATGACGTGCTCTACGAAGTGTATGAACTTATTAGGCATTTAAATTCTACAAACTAGGCTTCACCAATTCTTTCAGGCTTTTATCCTGCTATTTCTTGCATATTCAGCACGAACATTGAGTTTATAAATTGGCAAGACTAAGATTCGAACCTTAGACCGATTTGACTTACAGACACTAGAGCTCTGTACTTCAAAGCAGCTACAGCTCACTTCATCCTCGTCCTGCACAAATTAATCTTTCCTAAATGCTCAAGCAATTCATTAAATTCCAAATCCACTTTGTGTAAAGAGCAATAATCTTCCTCGTTTGTTCCCATCGCCATAATTTAATGCATAATGTGAGGAATAAAAGAAATTTATATGAATTTAAGGCATAAATTTCTATCTCCATATTTTCATCATTCAACGACTTTATTATACCAAATTTAGAATAATAAAGTATGTATCAAGAAAATGAAGAAATTCAGTCTGTTTGTGTTTGTAATCAGAAGGCAATTTTTAAAGTCGCAAATAAAAAAAGAAGCAGCAAAGAAAATGAAGAGTTTCATCTAAAAAGCATTAAGGCAGACATTTTAAAGTAATTTTTATGATAATAACTTTCAGCATTATAAACATAAATGAATTCTCTCGATGCAAATAAAAAAAAGGCTTCTTCTAATGCGATAATAAAGCATAAAAGATCCATGAATGAATAAAAAAAAGTACTTCTTATTTTACTTTTTATTCTTTTGTGTGTTATTCAATGTTTTGTATCATTTTATGTGTTTGAAGAGTGAAATCATAAAGATTTTAATCATTTCTTTTATTCATAGCTTACACATAGGAAATTTGTAAGAAATTTATTTTTTAGATGAAGGATTAGAGCGCATTTTATGCCATAGACTATTAAAATAGTCCAAAGAAGATAGTCCACATATTATCTATGGGACCGTTCACTAATGACGTCTATCAAAAACCTAATTTTATAAACCCCTCTCCCATTTTCTGTCACAACCCTATCACAGATGTATAATTTCCTGATTAAAACAATGGATGTCACAAAATTTCATAACCCCCTTCTCTCCCTTGTCACAATGTGTCCAAATTATTTTGACCACCCCCCCCCCCCCCCCCCCCCCCTTTAATGTTGGACGTCACAAGTGAACGAACCCTATTCAGAATTTCTAACAATAAATAAAATTTTTATTATTCTTTTTGTTATCACGCAATGCAAATTTGTTAATGATCTCGCGAAGTATTAAAGGATATTCATCAAGCATAGCAACATTCACTTCATTTTCTTTGATCATATTCCAGCGACTGTGTAAAGTGGAAGTGATAAAATTAAGATTAATGATGGTGGCTGTCTAGCTTCGGTGCACATTCATTTAAAGAAAAAAAAAATATTCAACATACTTGCAAATATATTCAAGGATGAAATTCTTTAGAATCAAAGCTTTATGAACATGAGCGAGAATGGAGCGTTCTACAGCTGTTTCGATTGTTACACCTCGCATAAGTTGATGCTCACTGAATTTCTTCAAGTCATTAATCTCGTACTAAAGGAAATGGTTGAAGGGATGATAATAAGTAAGTATGCTATAATGATTGTGAGGGAAGATGAATATTCAAAAGAAAGGAATTTGTAGCTTTAAATGGAAGATATTTATGAGATGTCTAGTCTAGCTCAGTCTTATTCACGGGAATCGCTTATAATCACTTTTAATCCTTGACTTGACCAAAGGTCGTCGGTTCGAATCTAGCCATTTCCAAATTCGTTCTTTTTCGGAAGTTTAGATACTTCGACTGCTTAATGTACGAGATCAAGCCATAATTGGACATTTGGGCAACGTTGGATTAAGGAACGGGTCAGGAACTTGAAGTGTAGCGGGAGAAATAGGAACGAGAGCTACAAGATTACCCACGAATGGAATATTGTTAGAACGGACCTGAAAAAGTATCACGTCACGCCCACAGAAGATCGAAACGAGAGCCTTAGTTTATTTGAAACCTAGATATGAAGATTAGTAGTTTGATCCTTCATAATACTAATTCATATGTATACAAATACAAAAGTGTAAAATGTAAATTATTACGGGACAGTATGTCGTCAATAAATGCAATAAATAAAGGCTTAAGCCATCTAATAACTCAAAAACTTAATCATCTACTTAAAAACCAGCTCCAACTACTACTTTAAAGCCAAATACTCAAAACTATAAATTAACATCCCATAAAAAACTACATCCACCACCAAAAAAGGTAATTTCCCATTAATTTTATGGCTCCTTAATTTTTCATTCACAAAAAAAAAGTATTAAAATTACCTCATCAGCAACTTTCAACAGCTCCAACAGAATATATTCACTCCCATTAATCTTCCGACAATAAAGGAAGCGCATCATCTCCGACACTATATTATGCTGTACATTCTTCATGTTAATTTCGTTGGAATTTCGCAGCATTGAATAAAAAATGGAACTGTGAGCGGCAAGCATCACTTTATGTGCTTTAATTCTCTTCCCTTCTTCACACAGAATGATGCAATCTGTCAAAATCTCATCATTTAAAAATGTTTCATAAGCCTTTACTGTTGCTGCATCGAGAATTTTTTCACTTTCGTCGGATTCTTTATGAAATTTTATTTGACAAATGATTGTCTTCGTTATTTTAAATGCTTGCCGTGACTCAATCGGTATGCGAATCATGCTCTCAATACATATTGCGCCAGGTGTTGAAATCTCATGTAGTCTGCCATCATCAGTATCAATTCCATCACCTATATTACTTGGCGGAAATATGACATCATCATTCGAGTGTAAAAATCCGAAATTGAGTTGGAATTTCTTCATCACGGTGACATTCTCATTTTCTTCAGAATGTAAACTCAAGTAGCATATATATGCATAACATCGATTGATGATTGACAATTGCCTGCAATGAAATGAATGAAAATAAAATGTTGAATGGGAAAAAAAAGTCATAAAAATGATTAATAATGTTTGATTAGATATTAAATTTCTGTACTTACATCCGAATGACTTGATTCCCAAAACGAACTGTATAGGGTGATGATTTTGCGATATTTAGCTCCGTGCTCTCCAATGGAAATGGAAGCACAATGTGAATTAAAACTTTTGACTATGAATTAGAAATTGGAAATTATATTTAAAAGAAATTGGCATTAATCTTATAGAAAGCATCAAAATTACCAAATTGATCTGCTCCATTTGGACTTGAATTCTAAGCTGTCGATTTGATGATTGATTGAGATCTTTTTAGAAGATTATTAAAGATTGTTGTAGAAAATATATTTTTTGAATGAATTTTCAAAATGATTTCTTTGCTTACTATTTTTGCATTGATTTGTCATCTTTACTAGGTTTATTAAAATGTCTAAAGTCTGTTATAATAATAAGCATCACTGCAATTCATTAATAATTCAATAGATTATTGCATATCCGTAAAGATGCTCAAAAGTTTCCTTTCGTGAGAGTAAAATTTACTAAATTCTGATTTTTTTTTTATAAAACAGAAGTTCTCAAATTGATAAAGCTCAGTTCCATTTCATCATCACTCGAGTCTACAAAGAATTAAAACATTTAAAATAAAAATGAAAGTGATTAGTCAAATAATTCAGATTGTATTTCTTCTAAGTTTATTTGGATTTTTTTGTGACTCAATTGCACAAATTCAAAATTCATCTCAAAACATTGGAGACACGTGCGATTTAGGAAATAATCAAAATGGAATTTGTCAAGAATTGAGAAATTGTCAGCACTCAAAGAAGTTGTTCGTTGAAAAGAAGTTTGCTGATATTAAATTTTGTAAACCACAAGGATACATACCTATTGCTTGTTGTCCTGGAACTAGTCAATAATTGTCATAATAAAATAATTTAAAATTTTGCTTCCTCAACGAATTTTGATTTATTTGTGTTGCTTTTCAGTAAATAGAATGACGCTTGTATAACTTTATTTGACCTAATAATCTCGAGGTCTAGTTGCTATCAGTTCTAGTATAAATACAGAGCTAGGAATTCCCCGGAACGTAATCACAAAGGAGTTTTCTAAATGATAATGCTCAATAATTGAGTAACGTTTTGCGAGTCGCAGTTAAAAATAACTTATATGCTTATTTTGACATATCATTGACCTTCATTCTGTAGAGTGTGATTTATTTTCTCCTGGTCATCGCTAGATCAAATAATAAGTTTGTGTAAGAAATTTGATTTGTTATAAATTCTTTGTAGGTTCAGTTAATCTTCACTACTAAAAGTGAGATTAGCAGACTTTATGGATGGCAGGAGATCAAGAGGATGATCTCGTGGATTGCATGTACTGAAAAGGACGCTAGGGTCCTTAATATCCCGAACTGGCAGAAGATTTCTAAGGATAGAGCTGTCTTCAGACGATCACTAAGCGCGGCAATGGGCCCACGTGCGTCCAGCCAAGAAAGTAAGTAAGTAAGTATTGTTATAACAATTTTAAAATAGGAAACGTCTTCTATATAAAATTAGACCTTTTGGAGGTAGATGTGGCTGAAATTTTCCAGATGTTTACAAAAAAAAGCATGCACATTGATTAGATATACGCTGAAATTTTGAAATTTAAATAATACCAAGAAATTATAACATTCTATCAATTTATTACATTGTTATCCTGTGTTATATTGTGTTATACTGTGTTATATAGAGGGTCCACGCTTTGCAGTACAAACATTAATTACTCAAAAATTTTAAATTTTTTGTGGAACACAAATTTTTTTCAAAAAAATTTGATCTGAACAGAATTTTTCTAGAATGGAACAAATATTCAAACCGAGAACCCCCTTTTTTTCTTACTAATATTAAACAAAATATTTTTTTTATATCACACCACACGCACATGATTTCAAAAAATGCGAATAAAGCACATGTTTTTGTGAAACAGTCTTCTTTCTGAAATCAACAAGTTTACTTGTGTCGATAAGTTTCAAAACATATTAGTGACCTTGACAAAAATAGAATTATGATAAATTTAAATTCTGAATACAAGCTTAATAAAATATCATTTTAAATAAGTCTAGTGTTATTAAAAAATATGATATTTGAGTTATTCATTTATTCATGTGACAAACTCTTCTTGATTTAAGAAATAATAAAAAAATGTATTTTGTTGTTGAAAAAAATGTGAAATTTTGTCGCATGTGACAACCCTAAATTTTATTCTGATAAGGAAAATAATTATCGTGAGTAATAAAGTGAATTTCAAAGTTTAAAAAATAATTCGAATTGTTTAATAAATGTGCTAATAAAATGGCGGAAAATAAACACAAATTTGAAGTTGATTCTGTAGCCAAAGCACTTAAGCTTCTATTGAAAACATTTTTAAGTAAACGTTCATCAAATGATGTTATACAAAAGTACTATTTCACAATAAAAAGCCAATTTAATGAAGAAATCAAAGAGTCGTCATTTTCATATTATATGAATAAATCAACACCAATTATAGTCGCATTTAAATCAAATGTAGATAATAATCATGCCTTCATATTTTGGAGAACTTCCAGCTCAGGGGCCTTTAAAAGTCTCAATATTTCCAAAGATCCAAGTTATTTTATCACGGATTTCTGTTTGGATCTTTTGGATAGTGAAATAAAAAATGGCAGAGATGGTAAGTATTTTTTGAAAATTCTTATCCTTTGACATCTTCAGTTTGCCACGTTGGAACAGCTGCTGACTACTGAGAAGATCTAAATCATTTGGATCCTTCTATGGCTACACAACTTAAAGCCTCCTTCTTAGATTATTCTTATTTATTCTAGGAATTTTGAAAAAATTTGAGCATCGAAAGCTGTTCGATCTTAAACACATTGGAAATGAACTTGGACAAAATCTTTTGATTAAAGCTGCATCAAAATGTCAAAATGAAGTCATAGAAAATCTCTTGGCACATAATTTTGATGTTGACAGCATGGACAACGATGGCTGCAATGCAATAGAAAGAGCATGGGAGTTTTATGATAAAAATGATGATAATAATAAGCACAAAACTGATAATGTTATGCTAACCCTACTGCATGCTAATTCAAAATTACCTAGAAATCATTATTCAGTAAGCAATAAGGTAAAAAATATTAAGAAAATTCAATTTGAACCAAGACTGGCACCAAGGAAAGTTAAAAAGTTTGTTAATATGTGTGAAGATTTACATGAGCTTGCAGATTCTTCGGAAATAATGGAAATTGAAAAAATCATAAATGAGGAACCAAATTTGAAATATTTCTATGATAAAAATAATAAATCTCTAATGGCTCATGCTTTATCAAACAACAAAATTGATGTTTGCAAGTTATTAGTGTCACTAAAAGTATCAATTGCACATCATGAAGTAGCTAGCCTTAATAAACTTTATAAAACTCTCGAAGATGATGATAAATTAGATTTGCAGACAGAACATCGCGTTCATGCAATAGAACTTCCAAAATTGCATGTTTACACATTACTAATGAGATCGAAAATTGGAAGAAATGACCGGCAGCACGATGATCGTTGGGCTTATGTTGAGGATGCTTTTAGAATCATAGATGCAAATGACACTTGCTCAAAAATTTTTAAAATTGCTGCGATTTTCCAAAACTTTACAATTTATTTTGAATTTGAAAACGAGGTCATTTATTATCTTGATCCAATGAGTAATTCAGGAGGTTTGGGAAAAATTTATGGTGATCATTCTGTATATATTGGAGCGAAAAATCTGATCGATGATAATAGAAAGTACGAAGTTATGGGAGCAATTATTCATGAATTGTGTCATTTTGCAGTTTTAATTACATACCTTAACGATTATAATCCATATCCGATTGGTGAATCTAAGGAAAAGAAACTTTTTACAGAAGCAGTTCAAGAATGCATTGAAAATAGAGAAGTTGAAGAAGATATTGTAGGCAGTGTAATGGACTACCCAGAATATCAACGTGATTCTGAATTCATCGTTAGAGTTGTTCAAATGGTAATGCATTATTATATCGGCGATGCAAAAAATGCAATTAGAAATACAGAAGCGCTGAACGAGCGTAAAGACAAATTTAAGAAGCTGTTTAAATATTTCGAGGAAGTTGTTGAAAAAGATTTTGATGAGCTGCTGAAAATTTTCGAGAAATTACTTGATGTCAAGCAAACTATAACTTTTGATGAGCTAACAAGACCATTTAAAAAGAGAATCTTATATTCAGACATTAATTTTCAAGGACAAAAGACAAATTTCAATGATTTAATTGGAGACGATGATGACATTTTGAAATTAATGACTCCGCAGCAAATTCGAGGAATGTTAGTTGATGGTCGGCACATTCCAGTAGCACAAGACACAAATGAATATTTTGAGACATCAGACAGAACTTTTACAGATTATAATACAGACTTGAGCTTAAAAATAAAGGAAGATATCAAGAATTCAGATGATATCATAGAAGAGATTCAAGAATCTAAAATTTTTATTCTTGCCGACACTGCTGGTGCTGGAAAAACAACATCATTTAAAAATTTATTTCTAAAGTTGAAGGAAAATTACAAAAACTTTTGGGTTTGTCTGATTGAACTCAGAAAGTTCCAACATATCTTTGAAGTGTACAACAAAATTCACGAAAAAGAATTGACTATTGAGAAAGTTTTGGAAATGATCATCAAAATGCTTAACTTTGATTCTAGTGAACCGTCTTTAGAAACAAAACTTTTCGAAAAATTATTTTTTAATGACAAAGTAATTTTTCTTTTTGATGCAGTCGATGAAATCAGCCCATATTTCAACAAATTTATTATAAATGTTCTTCAGAAAATTCAAGAATCAACTCATAATCAAATTCTTGTCTCTACAAGACCACAACATGCAAAACAGTTGAGTGAAAGTCTTAAAGCTAAACCATTTAAGCTTGTTCCTTTCTCTTGGAAAGAAAAGGAAAGTTTCATCCTAGAAATGTTGAAAGATTCTGAAACATATGATGAAAGTAAGGAACAAGAAGTTCTTAATGACTTCAATATCTTCTTTAAATCTATTAAAAACATTGGATATTTCAATTATGACATTGACAATCCATTAATGGTAAAAATAATTACTGAACTTTACATTATTGGACAAATTGATTTAAAGAATCAATCGCTTGATCTTTATGAAATATTCGAAAAAATCGAATTTAGTCATAAGAAACAAGTTGATTCCAAAGTTGCTTTTGAGGATCGCGATCCATTCAGTACAATTTCTCTTGAATCAGTTCATCAAGCTTTAGCACTTTTATTGTTATCTTCTTCAATTAAAACGGAACTTTATCAAACCTACATTATTAAAAGTTGGAATGAAAACAAAAAAGGTTTAACAGACGAAAAAATCCAAAGGTATGGATTTGTAAGAATTGGACGAGATTTTAAAGAAAATGACGAATTTGCTTTAGATTTTACTCATAGGACTTACGCTGAGTTTTTCGTTGCGAAATTTATTTTAACGTTTCTGTTTAAAATTGAAGATTTTATAAAAGATGAAGAACTAGAAAAAGTTATTAAAGTCATTAAAATATTTGTTAATAATGATACAATTGAAAATATATTTGGATTTATCATGTGTTACATGAAAAACAATGCAGAAGGACGTAATTTTATTCTTAAAAAGTTAATTTTAAAAGAATTTCATGAAATTAAAAATGAATTATTTTTCGATCCAAATGATGAGCAGCTGCTCTTTTTAAAATTCTTTTCGGTATTTTTTATAAGAGAACAAGCAGTTTTGAATGATTTTTGGCTTCTTAATAGAGAACAAAATATGCTGCGAATGATTTTAATAGAGACCAATATTTTGGGATATTTTAAACTTCAAAACTTAATAGAGACATTGTCAATTTCATTTGGTCCAAATTGGCATGAAAGATTTAATAGCAGTGGACGAAAATTGATAAAAAATGAAGAAATTAAAGAAATTGAAGGCAATGAAAACTTTTTTAACAAACAATTTAACAAAAATTTATTTAAATTTTTAGATTATTTTGAAAACAATTTCACAAATCATGAAAAGGTTACAATTTGTAAAAATGGAGTGTTTGTATATGAAAATGTCGAGTTGATAGAGATTAATTTAATGAAAAAGATGCTTTCAATTTATTCTGAATTATCAAAAAAGAATAATCAAATTTTAATTGACATTTTGATTGCGTTTATAAAATACACAGCCAATGAAGAAATTTTGATGTATTTAGCAGAAAACATTGAAGAACTTTTAAACAAGAATAAAGAAAGTATAAGAGAAGTTTTATTTTATGATTATGAAAGAGAACAACATCCACTTTTCAAGGCAGTCAAATTTAAAAACTCGGAAATTTTTCAAAAATTTAAAACTATTTTTAAAACTTATCAACTTTCAAATGACGACTTAAAAAACATTTTTGTTAAAGATAATAATTTACTATACCTGACATTACTTACACCTAATAAGATGTTCGATCAAATTTCAACATTTGTAAATGAAATTTATGGATCAGATTACGTTAACCTTGTTCAAAGCTTTGAACCTCGAACAGATTTGAAAGTGTTAAGCTTAGTTTTTGAAGATAAAAGGAAGTTCAATTCTGTTAAGAAATTTATATTAAAATGCTATAAGAATAATGAAAGTAAAACAAAACTTGTTTTAAAACACTTATTGACTTATGGACATTTGTCATTCTGTGCACCATTGTTGCCTGCAATAAGAAAACGAAATGTTGCTCAATTTAAAAGCAATCTTGAAATTTATAATAACTTTGGAATATCGTGGAAAAATGTTACAAATTTGAACATAATTATTAATATATCAATGGAATTATTTTTAAATATGACCAAAGAAACTTATGAAGAATATAAAAAGTTCCTTATTACACTTTACAACGAAAATAAAGGACATATTGAAGAACCTAAAGTTTTCCATACATTTAGATTTTTAGGAATTTCACCAACTACTAAATTCTTCTTAAATTTATCGACGAACCTAATTGCAAAATGTGTTTATCAATTCAAATTAGAACTTTTATGGAATGAAGAAAAATTCCATTATTTTGAAAAATTTTTATTTGAATATTTTGAAGATAACGAAGATCAAGCTAAAGAAATCATAAATGTTATGCTGTTTTGTAAAGAATATTCGGTTGTTGATTGTTTTCATCCATTGATAAGGCCGACAGAAAAATCAAATCCTTATGAATTCAACAGAATCATAAACTTGTACAAAAAGTATAAAACTTCAGATGATCAACTAAGCGAGATGTTAAAATCTTCAAATGTAAGTATATTTTGTCAATCTAGTTTTAAATCAAATATTTTAATAAGGATTTTAAATTTACAGATTTTCTGCACTATGTTAAACATGATGTCGAACGAGATTTATCCTGCATTTTTAAAATTAATCCAAAATACTTTTGGCCAAAACAAAGAACAACTACTGGAATGCATCAATAATATGGTCATTTACAATGTCATTGCTATAAGAGAAAGATTTATTTTGTTGAGAAAACTTTTATTGGATTTTTTTGAAAATCATGAAACTTTAAAATCAGAATTTATAAGAAAAATTATATTTTTTAAATACAGCGGTGAAATTTATCCGATCCTTCAAGTTTTAAACAAAAATCATGTTGATCATATTAAAGAAGTTTATAATTTTTATATAAATTATAAAACATCATGGGAAGAAATTCAAAATATATTCAAAAGAAAGAGTTTTTTAATAAGCATATTTAATCGTGTAACTGAAGAAAGTTATGAAACAGTTGTAAATTTCATAAAAGAAGTTTTTCAAAATAATCTAGAACTTTTAAGAGAACTTATTAATGACAATTGTGTTAATTATGATAAAATGTTTAACTTCAGAGATATGAATAAGTTGAAATTTTTTGAAAAATTTGTGATTGATAATCAATCAAATGCCAGAGAATGTATTAAACATATTTTGTTTGGTAAAGACGATAATCCACTTCATAAAATTATCAATAATAAAGATTTAAATGAATTGAAACTTTGCATTGACATGTTGAGGAAATATTCAGATAATTTGGAAGAAATTCAAGAATATTTTATAGAAAATGAAATTTCATCAATTTTTTTTGTAAACTATATGTCCGATGAAATATATGAAATTTTGAAAAAATTATTACTTGAAGTGTTTTCAAAAAATTTAAGAAATTTCAAAAGATTCATTAAAATTGCTGACATTTCAGAAATTATCAAAAATGAGGAAAAGTTTAAATTACTTGAAAATTTAATTTTTGAATATTTTGAAAATAATGAACTTCTGTCCAAAGATTTGATTAACAGCATTCTTTACTCAAATTGTGATGGGAATCCGATAGAAATAAATCAAGATACACCAGCTTATCAGTTCGAGAGAATTAAAAATATTTACATAAAGTATAAAAATTCATGGGCTGAATTTTTTGACAAAATTTCAAAACTTCCGGATGACACATTTGAGTCTTTAAGGGAATTTATGAAGGAAGTTTTTGAATCAAATAGAGATTTGATCATTAAATGTTTTAGAAAAGAATATAGACAAGAAGTTATCGGAAATAAAGAAAACTACAAATCATTTAGGATATTTCTAATTAGATATTTTGAAAGCAATAATGCTGCAGTCAATCAATTTCTTAAAGAATTTTTGCATAATGAATATGAAGATAGCCTGCATCCATTGCTTTCAGTTATTAAAGAAAATGATTTTTATAAATGCTCAGCAGCAACTTGGGTATATTCAAAATATTCAGATGCATTTAGGAACGCCCTTTTAACAACCAATCTTCTCTTTAAAATTCTCTCCAGCCTAAGTCATAATGGATATGACTCATTCGTAGATCTTTTAAAAATTACTTTTATATCTGATAAATCGGAAATAGCTGATTGCATGAACAGTGATGCTGAATTATTAAATATTTGGAAAATTCAAAATTTTGATCAATTTCATAAATTTTTGATAGATTTCTTTAAAGATGACAAAGAGCAGATAAGAATTTGTGTAAGAAAAGTACTTTTTTACACTTATGAAGCTAGCTGTCATCCACTTGTGAAAGTTTTACAACAAAATGATTTAACAGAATTTGAAAAACTTACCAATCATTATATAAAGTATAAGGAATCCGACGAGGAACTGCAAAACATTTTAATAACAATATTAAGTTATATTTTTAACAATTTAACAAACGACACTTTTCCATATTTTTTAAAGTTTATTAATTTAGTTTTTGAAACAAATTGCCAAAAACTTTTGAAAATATTAGAAGATTTCATGTCTGAAAATGAATTTGAATGTCTTAGTGACGATAAAAAGAAATTTATCGAAGATTTTGTAATGCTTAGTCAAAGACTAACTTAAAGACATATGATTATATAGAATTAAATTAATTTAATTGATTTTAATTCACTTTTATATCCAATATTACAAGATAAAAAATAAAATTATATTCATTTAATCTACTAAATAGTTACTCATTTAATTTAATCCAAAGCCTCACAAGAATCATCATTTAAAAAGGCACAGATATTACATCAATAATATGTAACGCACGTACACATAATCAGAATATTTTAAAATTCAATTTTCTCACTCTTTGCTTCCTTCAAAGCTCTCACAACTTCACCGTTCTGTACAATTTTTTTTATCTATCATATCAGCATGTCTTTAAAGAACATCATGAAAAGAACAAGACGAGAAGGAGAAGAGAATGAAGCTCATTGCTGGTGCCGTTTTAAAAAAATTCCGATCACATCGCAACGAGGAGTGTGAAGTCGAAGTGTGCCGTAGGTTATTCCATTACTCATAGCCGCTCTCATTCACAATTTTTACTTTAAATTCCTTCATGCAAAAAAAAAATTGTAAGAATCTCACATAAAAAGTGATGATGTGTACGGAAAGAACAGCATAAAGGCAGGGAGATTCATACTCAAAAATGTTCGCATAATTTTATTCAATTATTCATCATATGTGGCAATTTTTTTTGTCTTATGTCTTCTACCTTACATGTTGCATTGCCTGACTGGATGCCTGATTTTTATTGTAGCATGAAATTAATGTTTCATTCGAGATTATCAAAAAATATTAAAAGAGATTTTTCATTCCTCGCTTTTTTGGAATGCTGATGATGTCGATGATGATTATGATTATTATTATTGTGGCAGTTAGATGAACAACTTTTTTTAATGTGCAATATGTGAAGGTATTTAAGAACATCATCATGATTTGATGGAGAGAAGGAAAGGCTTTGTTTAAAAGGTAAAGTTTATATGGAGTGCAAATATTCTCAAAAGTTGGAACTGACTGGCTAATTGATTCTAGATTGTTTAATGAAACATAACTACATCCCTGGTTCAGAGTCATGTGCGCATCTGCTTCAATTTTTCAAGCTTCAAAATCTAGCAAAAAAATACATCAGAAAACAGCAAATTCCTCCCTCTCGCTTAATAAATCATCACGTACCAAATTCATCACGCATTCAGACATTCATTCCTAATTATCTCCACCTTACTTCCTTCACTTTTCTCTCTCCTTCGTGCCAATTATACTGCAGACTTTCTCACACATCATTCATAATTTCTGAATTCATAAAAGACTTTTTTTTTGTTATTCATAATTCTCTACATGATTTTAATGCAGCAAGTAAGCGAGGAAATACATCAAATTAATTCTCGTCTAGATGCGAAGCTAATTCATTTGCCTAAAAAAAAAAAATCATGAATGAAATAAGGAATAAGAAATGAGCAATTTATGAGAACTAAAATTATTATGTGGGTGGATTTTTATTTTTGTGAAATGCACGAATGATGAATTTAGTTATGACAGTAAATTGCCCATGGATGGAACTTAATCTCGGATTTTTTGCAATTCTCATGTTATTTATAATTTCATAATTTCTTTTCGATTAAAGCTGTAGACTTATTGATGGAAAAATGATTTATTAGCGATTATTTTTTTGGACAACCCAAAATAAATCAGCATATTGAAATGGAAGTTATATGGTTATACATTTATGGGCTCATTTGAATGATGATGATTAAATGGGTTCGAGAAATTTAAGTTATGAGGATTATTGTGATCATCTAAGGCTTGAGACGCTTAAGAACTAAAGCTAGTTCACATTCATGATATTATGGATATCTAGGTACTGGCTCTCAAGGAGAGTTATTCCTCTGTCGACAGAGTCTTATCAAATGTGAAACATAATCAAGTTTAGAAGCTTCAAATGGACCCTTTTCTCATTTTCCAATAAATTTTCAAAAGTTATGCCTGAACAATAACCCCCAATTTACCAAAAAAAAAAAATTAGCTTCAAACAATTTTAAAATACACAAATAATTCCCAATTGTGGATTAATTTCAATTTATATCTTCTATAGCAAAAGGTATGAGAAGTTCGAACACAAGTCAGAATGAAAAATCTCAGTTTCCCCCAACTGACAAATATTGTTCATTTAATTTGCATTTATTTCAATTCTCAACTTCGATCATTTGTGTGAAAAAATTTCCATTGATGAGATTAAAATCTTCCTTAATTCGCTAAATTACTGTAAGATTGATTAAATTTGCATAGTAAGTCAATATTCTCATTGGGAAACTGGATTATTTTCGTTCATTCGTTCCTGTTCAGTCCCTACCTATGGATGAGAAGTGAAGAACACGCAAAAACACTTAACACATACAGTGCACTGTGTATGGTAATGCATGAATACTAAATTAATGATTTATGAGTGTCGCTTAAACCCACATTAAGTCTCAATTCGCCAATAATTTTTAAAAATGTTCAAACTCTTTAATAAATTTTAAAGAGAGAAAGACTGGCATGAAGTTGCGGCATGATTTATTTCTTTTAATCGCTTTTTTATTCAAAATGTGCATTGTAGATGACAGAGGAGTAGTTGGTGATTTTTCACTGTGGGGGTTAATGCCCTTGAGGCTTAGCCCTAGCATATTGCAAATAGACTAATGCATTCTATTTTGCTACCTCTGGTCAGGAACAAAGTTAAACCCGGATCCTGTTTTAAAACTGTAGAAAATTTAAAAAATTTCTCAAACGTAAAAGAGGGTCAAACCTCAGAGTACGCCCCTGCCTCTAGTTTTTTCATACAATCTGAATCAAATGGAAAATGATATTGGCATCAGTGTGTTTATTTTAACCGAGAGGATTATGCAATTCATTGAATTTCTTATCACACAAAACATCACTTATGCATGAAAATTTGAGGATTTAAATTCCTCTTTTCTCTCCAAGAGGAACTGAATTGAGGGGAGCAATTTTATTTTTAATGAAAAACTCATGCAGTAAATTTAAAAATTTTTCAAATCATTAAATTTTTCCCTTCATCTCCCTCATTTGAATTTAAAGAAAATCTTTCTAAATCGCATGAAAAGTGGGTCAAAGACACGATAGGGGAGACACCGTAGCTTAAGGAAACAGGAAGAAGAACATAAAAATTAAGTTAGAGAAAAATTGAAAATAAATTTAAAAAATTTGAGATTCTTTTTGAAGATTCTTCGTCTTCCTCAATATTATTTTTATCATCGTCATTGTAAGTGAGACAATGAAGATGACGAAGGAAAAAAAGGGAACCGGGAAAAGAATTTGCATAATTTTCTTTTACTGTCGAATTGCTACCTGCCTGTCATTCTTGAATGAAAAAAAAAGTTCAAGCACACTCTTTGCGATAAATAAAATGTTTATTGCCCTGATTTTTTTCCGTTCCTGCTTCATGCAAATTTTCCCATCTCTCGAATCTGTTTTGTGTGTCATTCCTTTCTGGAAATTTGCATCACAAAAATATTTTATTTAAAATAGCAGCAAGAGGGCGATGGTTGGAATTTGTAATGGTGATCATGTTTATTTATAAGTGAAGTAGATGGACATACCCGTTTTTAGGGATGGATTTGAGAATAAAAGTAAATAGAAGATGGATAGGTAAGGTTGAAAAGGTTGACAATGTTGAAAATGGATGTGACTGCAGTCGACTGTTGAGGAAGGGTGATTTGGAATGGTTGTGTGCTTTAAAGATGTTGAAAGTCATCTGTTTTAGCTAGTTTTGGATATTTTCTCTGATTTTTAATGCTGCAGATTGATAAGATTTGTATTAAATGACTGCCTTGACTTGTTTTTGGCGTCTCAATGCCAGGCATTTTGCCAACTTTGCTCTAATGTATTCTTTTAACCTCTGAACTACCCAAAAATCTGTTGAACATCTTCTACAACTACAAAAGATTCCAAAACCTTATTAAACTTTAATTCAATTTATTCAGAATTTTTCCATTACTTCCAATCCATTCGGTCAGCATTAAGCCTTATCCATAAAATCTGTAGGAAGTTTAGCTACCTCTCCTCATCATGTTTCGTATAATTTTACATCCCAATAAGGAAAACAACACAAAAGGTTATGCAAAAAAAGAAGAAAATTGCATAATTTTTCATGTTGTTTATTTTCTTTCTTATTTGCCTAGCAGAAAAATCTGAGACTGAAAATTGAGAGCTGAAAATACAAAGCAAGAAAAAAAAATCCTCCTTCCATTATTGAGTTCCTTTATAATCATCATCCTACAATGCATAAGCCGTTAATGTTGTTTTATGCAATAGACAAGCTCTAGAGAAACTTTTCCTACAATGCATTAAATGCCTTTTTTTTTGGTTTATTCATGGAAGGAGCAAAAGCTTTTAAACATCATCATAATTTGTCGGTTATTTTTGGTTTTGTGTATTAAAAATTATTAGCAAAAAATAACTCCTCTTTCATGTTTTAAACAGTTTATCCTCATCTCTTTCTTTATGGTTGATTTTAATTCTTGCTTGGCAGAGTTGGTGCAGTAGATTGAAGCTTTGAAGCTTAATAGTCACCAAAGAATGATATCTGAAAAAATCCCATATCCAATTGTTAAAAATTTGATCAACTTTTCCTCTAAGAATTCAATTTCAAGCCTTAAGACAAACCCGAAAGGTAAACGATGTAAAAATAGCTGTCAATCTAGCATCCAGGACAGCATGTACAGGATTTGGTTGAATTTCAATAAATTCAACCTTACAAAAACCCCAATGACATCAACTCTGCATTATCAACGTGCCGAAAGTCAAAAAAAAGCATAATGTTTAATTTTTCATTCAATTCTTGTTCTGGATGGAGGCTGGCTTTTGTTAAAATATTGAATATATTTTATGCTACTAAGCTGCATATTTTTACATACACACAAAAAAAATATTTATTTGGAAAGACGATGAAAATTTATTTTAAATTGAATCTCATGAAAAGATTTTTTTAACGCTCACAAAGCATGTGATTTATGCAAGAACGTGTAAAATATAAAAAAATTGAGATTTTTTGTCATCACAATAAAAAATTAGTTCTTTCCTTTCTCACACCCAAAAAAATTGGTGAATGGGGAAGAGGGGAAGTACACACACAAAAAATACACATTCAATTCATTCCGATGTGATGAAGTAAGAAGAGAATTTTTTTTTTATTTCGGCGAAGATGAATTTTTG